GTTCGGCGCCTGCGATGACGGCCTGTGCCGACAAATGCTAAGGAAGCGCATCAATCCCTATGGGCGTAGGGAGAAGCGTCGAACGACCCGAATGTTGTTACATATTCGGGTGGCTCATGCTCAAATACACCCACCAGAGCAATTCCGGCTTGTTTCGCGCGTACAGAAAAGTTCGGTGTTTGCGATGGTGGCTGCGCCTGTCGACAAACGCTAAGGAAGCGCATGGATCCATATGGGCGTGGGGAAAAGCGTCGAACGACCTGAATGTTGTTGCATATTCGATTGGCCCATGCTCAAATACACCTACGTGAGCAATTCTGGCTTGGTTCGCGCGCACCGAAAAGTTCGGCGCCTGCGATGACGGCCGCGCCTACCGACAAACGCTAAGGAAGCGCATGGATCCCTACAGGCGTAGGGAAATGGGTCGAACGACCTAAATGTTGTTGCGTATTCGAGTGGGCCATGCTTAAATACACACACCAGAGCAATTGCGGCTTGGTTCGCGCGCACAGAAAAGTTCGGCGCCTGCGATGACGGCCGCGCCTGCCGACCAATGCTAAGGAAGCGCATGGATCCCTATGGGCGTAGGGAAAAGCGTTGAATGACCTGAATGTTGTTGCATATTTGGGTGGCCCATGCTCAAATACAACAACCAGAGCAATTCCGGCTTGGTTCGCGCGCACAGATAAGTTCGGCGTTTGCGATGACGGCCATGCCTGCCGACAAATGCTAAGGAAGTGCATGGATCCCTAGAGGCGTAGGGAAAAGCGTCGAACGGCCTGAATGTTGTTGCATATTCGGGTGGCTCATGCTCAAATACACCCACCAAAGAAATTTTGGCTTGGTTCGCGCGCACAGAAAAGTTCGGCGCCTGCGATGACGGCCGCGCCTGCCGACAAACGCTTAGGAAGCGCATGGATCCCTATGGGTGTAGGGAAAAGGGTCGAACGACCTGCATGTTGTGCATTTTCGGGTGGCCCATGCTCAGATACACCCACTAGAGCTATTCCGTCTTGGTTCGCGCGCACCGAAACGTTCGGCGTTTGCGATGATGGCCGCGTGTGATGATGGCCGAAACGTAAGCGCATGGATCCCTACGGGCGTGTGGAGAAGCGTTGAACGACCTGAATGTTGTTGCATATTTGGGTGGCCCATACTCAAATACAACAACCAGAGCAATTTCGGCTTGGTTCGCGCGCACGGAAAAGTTCGGCGCCTGCGAAGACGGCCGCGCCTGCTGACAAACGCTAAGGATGCGCATGGATTCCTACAAGCTTAGGGAAAAGCGTTGAACGACCTGAATGTTGTTGCATATTCGAGTGGGCCATGCTTAAATACACCCACCAAAGCAATTCCGGCTCTGTTCGCGCGCACAGAAAAGTTCGGCGTCTGCGATGACGGCCACACCTGCCGACAAATGCTAAAGAAGCGCATGGATCCCTATAGGCGTAGGAAAAAGCGTCGAACGACCTGAATGTTGTTGCATATTTGGGTGGATTATGCTCAAATACAACAACCAGAGCATTTCTGGCTTGGTTCACGCGCACGGAAAAGTTCGGCGCCTGCGAAGACAGCCGCGCCTGCCGACAAACGCTAAAGAAGCACGTGGATCCCTATGGGCGTAGGGAAAAGCGTCGAACGACCTGAATGTTGTTGCATATTCGGGTGGCTCATGCTCAAATACACCCACCTGAGGAATTTCGGCTTGGTTCGCGCACACCAAAAAGTTCGACGCCTGCGATGGCGGCCGCGCCTGGCGACAAACGCTAAGGATGCGCATGGATCCCTACAGGCGTAGGGAAAAGCATCGAACGACCTGAATGTTGTTGCATATTTGGATGGCTCATGCTCAAATACACCCACCTGAAGAATTTCGGCTTGGTTCGCGCACACCAAAAAGTTCGGCGCCTGCGATGACTGCCGCGCCCGCCGACAAACGCTAAGGAAGCGCACGGATCCCTACGGGCGTAGGGAAAAGCGTCGAACGACCTGAATGTTGTTACAAATTTGGGTGGGCCATGCTCAAATACACCCACCTGAGCAATTCCGGCTTGGTTCGCGCGCACCGAAAAGTTCGGCGCCTGCGATGACGGCCGCGCCTGCCGACAAACGCTAAGGAAGCGCATGGATCCCTATGGGCGTAGGGAAAAGCGTCGAACAACCTAAATGTTGTTGCATATTCGGGTGGCTCATGCTGAAATATACCCACTAAAGCAATTCCGTCTTGGTTCGCGCGCACGGAAAAGTTCGGCGCCTGCGGTGACGGCCGCGCCTGCGGACAAACGCTAAGGAAGCGCATGGAAATGTTCGGCGTTTGCGGTGACGGCCGCGCATGCCGACAAACGCTAAGGAAGCGCATGGATCCCTATGGGCGTAGGGAAAAGCGTCGAACAACCTGAATGGTGTTGCATATTCAAATACCCAGTCTTCAATACACCCACCTGAGCAATTCCGGCTTGGTTCGCGCGCATCGAAAAGTTCGGCGCCTGCCGACACACGCTAAGAAAGCGCATGGATCCCTACGGGCGTGTGGAGAAGCGTCGAAAGACCTGAATGTTGTTGCATATTCGGGTTGCCCATGCTCAAATACACCCACCAGAGCAATTCCGGCTTGGTTCGCGCGCTTGGAAAAGTTCGGCGCCTGCGACGACGGCCGCGCCTGCCGACAAAAGCTAAGGAAGCGCATGGATCCCGATCGGCGTAGGGAAAAGCGTTGAACGACCTGAATGTTGGTGTATATTCGGGTGGCCCATGCTCAAATATATCACCTGAGCAATTCCGGGTTCGTTCACTCACACAGAAAAGTTCGGCGCCTGCGATGACGGCCGCGCCTGCCGACAAACGCTAAGGACGCGCATGGATTTTTATAGGTGTAGGGAAAAGCGTCAAACGACCTGAATGTTGTTGCATATTCGGGTGGCCAATGCTCAAATACACCCACCAGAGCAATTCCGGCTTGGTTTGCGCGCACCGAAAAGTTCGGCGTTTGCGACGACGGCCGCGCCTGCCGACAAACGCTAAGGAAGCGCATGGATCCCTAGAGGCGTAGGGAAAAGCGTCTAACGACCTGAATGTTGTTACATATTGGGGTGGCCCATGCTCAAATACACCCACCAGCGCAATTTCGTCTTGGTTCACGCGCACGGAAATGTTCGGCGCCTGCGATGACGGCCGCGCCTGCCGACAAACGCTAAGGAAGCGCATGGAGATGTTCGGCGTTTGCGGTGACGTCCGCGACTGCCGACAAACGCTAAGGAAGCACATGGATCCCTACGGGCATGTGGAGAAGTGTCGAACGACCTGAACGTTGTTGCATATTCGGGTGGCCAATGCTCAAATACACCAACCAGAGCAATTCCGGTTTTATTCGCGCGCACAGAAATGTTCGGCTCCTGCGACGACGGCCGCGCCTGCCGACAAACGCTAAGGAAGCGCATGGATCCCTAAGGGCGTAGGGAAAAGTGTCGAACGACCTGAATGTTGTTGCAAATTTGGGTGGCCCATGCTCAAATACACCCACCTGAGCAATTCCGGCTTGGTTCGCGCGCACGGAAAAGTTCGGCGCCTGCAACGACGGCCGCGCATGCCGACAAACGCTAAGGAAGCGCATGGATCCCTACAGGCGTAGGGGAAAGCGTCGAACGACCTGAATGTTGTTGCATATTCAGGAGGCGCATGCTCAAATACCCCCACCTGAGCAATTCCGGCTTGGTTCGCGCGCACGGAAAAGTTCGGCGTTTATGATGACGGTCGCGCCTGCCGACAAACGCTAAGGATGCGCATGGATCCCTACAGGCGTAGGGAAAAGCGTCGAACGACCTGAACGGTGTTGCATATCCGGGTGGCCCATGCTCAAATACACCCTTTAGAGCAATTCCGGCTTGGTTCGCTTGCATGGAAAAGTTCGGCGCCTGCGATGACAGCCGCGCCTGCCGACAAACGCTAAGGAAGCGCATGGATCCCTTCAGGCGTAGGGAAAAGCGTCGAACGACCTGAACGCTGTTGCAAATTCGGGTGGCCCATGCTCAAATACACCCACCTGAGCAATTCCGGCTTGCTTCGCGCGCACCGAAATGTTCGGCGCCTGCGATGGCCGCCGCGCCTGCCGACAAACGCAAAGGAAGCGCTTGGATCCCTACAGGCGTAGGGAAAAGCGTCGAAGGACCTGAATGTTGTTGCATATTCGGGTGGCCCATGCTCAAATACACCCACTTGAGCAATTCCGGCTAGGTTCGCGCGCACGGAAAAGTTCGGCGCCTGCGATGGCGGCCGCGCCTGCCAAAAAACGCTAAGGAAGCGCATGGATCCCTACAGGCGTAGGGAAAAGCGTCGAACGACCTGAACGTTGTTGCATATTCGGGTGGCCCATGCTCAAATACACCCACCAGAGCAATTTTGGCTTGGTTCGCGCGCACTGAAAAGTTCGGCGGCCTCGATGACGGCCGCGCCTGCCGACAAACGCTAAGAAAGCGCATGGATCCCTACAGGCGTAGGGAAAAGCGTCGAACGACCTGAACGTTGTTGCATATTCGGGTGGCCCATGCTCAAACACACCCACCAGAGCAATTTTGGCTTGGTTCGCGCGCACTGAAAAGTTCGGCGGCCTCGATGACGGCCGCGCCTGCCGACAAACGCTAAGAAAGCGCATGGATCCCTACAGGCGTAGGGAAAAGCGTCGAACGACCTGAACGTTGCTGCATATTCGGGTGGCCCAAGCTCATACACACCCACCAGAGCAATTTTGGCTTGGTTCGCGCGCACAGAAAAATTCGGCGTCCTCGATGACGGCCGCGCCTGCCGACAAACGCTAAGGAAGCGCATGGATCCCTATAGGCGTAGGGAGAAGCGTCGAACGACCTGAACGTTGTTGCATATTCGGGTGGCCCATGCTCAAATACACCCACCTGAGCAATTCCGGCTTGGTTTGCTTGCACGGAAAAGTTCGGCGCCTGCGATGGCGGCCGCACATGCCGACAAACTCTAAGGAAGCGCATGGATCC